CCCCGTTCAAAAGGTTATTTTGTGAGGACTTCAATGGTGGTTTTTTTATTAAAAGGGTGTAAATACTCGCCGAGATATTTACATTAGAAAAATTGAATCGTAATGTAATACGAATAGGGCCTGTTGTAAGTTCCCAGCGCAGTGCCGCCAGTTTTCTGCACAGCAGTTGCTACTTAATGTAAATATATGTATATAGTATTGCTTAAAGTACGTCACAGTGATTCTTTGTAATTTGATACTATTATTGATTAAGGCTAATATGTAAATTCATTTGTGATCAGATCGTAGCGAGACGAGGAAGTCTAAAATCGCGTGGTAAATAGAAAATCTTTCCAATGAAATAAATTGATAGAATACAGTCCCCTGAATGTTATTGTATGTGAACCAGTGTGCGCGGAGATAAAAGTGAAGATTCTGCAAAACAGTGGTTCGATCGAACCGGAAATGTGAATTGTGTGCGAGGCTACGAACAAAGAACGTTTGATATTTGCGCTCCCGTCGATAGTGGAAAGATTTGCGTAAAGTTTGAAAACGAAGAGTATGGACGATCTGACGAAGATAAAGCGAGTTAGAGGAGGCCACAGAGCATCAGCAAGTAAGCTTGTGGCAAAGATAGTTGAAGCGATACCGAAAGCTGAAGAGTTTACATGAAGTATTTATGTAGGACTATTTAGTATAACCGCTGACTCTCTCTCTTGTTGAGATTGGTTTTATATTTGTGAGTTCATCAGATGTTGTTTGTTTTTAATATACGCTAGTTTCGATTCGTATTTCTATATTATTGTAAGTCTTTCTTAGTTTGTATTTATCCTATTCGTTTATGTAGCTATATTTGAGTATAGAACGTGCATAGTTATAATTTCTATTCATTGTATTTACCTAGGATTCTTTCATCGTCCTTGTTCAATAAACATACAAAATTCGAGGTCATTTCTTCATGAAAGAGTCATGGTTGTTGTAGAATGCTTTGTCCCACAATGCGATTTCAAAACTAATGATGTCTCAGAGGCACTCGCCATAGCTCTTCTATCAAACCATGGTCGGGCCAACACAACCAGCACCCACATTTCAAGGCCCGAAACTTGAGCGACCCAAAATAGATGTCGGTGTGTCCATTGAAGACTGGAATGTGTTCGTCCGGCGATGGGAGGTTTTTCGAACCGGATCTGGGATCAATGATACATCGGTCTCATACCAATTATTTCAGTGTGCCGGGACCGACCTAGGTGATAGCCTCCTAAAAGCAAACTCCAATGCAGCCTCCGGTACCCTCAAAGAACTGCTTACCGCCATGTGTTCCTTGGCAGTCATTCCTGTTGCCACCTGTGTATCACGGACTGAACTTCTTCAACTACGTCAAGAAAGGGATGAGGCTTTTCGCACATTTACAGCCAGGGTGCGAGGGAAAGCCGAGACGTTTGCCTTTACAGCAGAATGTGAGTGTGGTAAGGGCGTCGACTACACAGATAATGTCATCCGTGACGATCTTTTAAATCACCTATCAGACCCAGACATTCGCCGTGAAATCCTGGGGACGCCCGACATCCTCAAAAAACCAGTCAATGATGTGATTGCCCTTGTTGAAAACGAGGAGATGGCCCGCAATGCCCTCCCATCATCAACCCTGTCTGCTGTGTTGTCGTTTCAGCGCCAAAAGAACCCGACGACAACCACCGCCACCTCCCCGTCCCAAGTGGATCAAACGAAGGAGGGAACATGCCCAGACTGCAAGCACACCTTTAAAGTCGGGCATTACCATGCATGGAGGGGCCATCTATCGAGATGCACGTCGACGCGACCGCCACTCCAAAGGCTTGCCATACACCAGCCAACATACCCCTACACTGGCAGCAGCAAGTGCATGACGTCCTCCTTGGAGACGACGCCCTTGGTGTCATTGAGCGTGTGCCTTATGGCGAACCCGTGACATGGTGCCATCGGATGTTTGTAACACGGAAGCACGATGGTTCTCCACGTCGCACGGTCGATTTCTCGCCACTAAATAAGTTTTGCAAGCGAGAAACGTTTGCCATGGAGTGACCCTCCCACCTCGCACGTCTCATCCCCAAAGAGACGTG